CATGAACATCGTCCATACCATACTCAGTAAGTAAACATACATAACAACATCACATCATAGATTGAATGAATAGCGTAAAATATTCATCGGTCAATCATAAGCCACATATGGCAAAACGTAGGCTCGTAGGCCAAAACAAGGTAATATTACAAAAGTATTCATGAGCATATTTTATGATTTAAATTAGTAAAGGAAGCACGAACCACATTTTCCTCTAGATTCCTTTCACCCGTGCAAAGGTGTGACAACAAGCTCTAGCTTCAACCTGAAATGGTGGGGCCCTCCGAAGGGGTCAGTACAAGTACCGAGCGAGTATCAAGCTAAATGTAGAGTAACTAACGTTTCAAGTATAAGACCCAAACATAGGGTGATACATATACTTATACATCTTTACCCCAAGTTACAAAATACGTATCTGTACTTACATACACTTGGAAATACCCGACCCGTAGGTCATTGTTTATTTGGGAGAAATAATAGTAGTCAATGTCCTTGACTTAAAACCCCAACCCACCCATAGACATATGAGTGTATAGGACTTCTCCTGTCCAAATCAAATGACCATAAGGGCACCACCCGGTCCTGAATTACTAAACAATAATCTATGAGTTTTGAGGATACCTCCCGATCCTTGGGTGCTCCACCCTATATAACCGAGTTTTGAGGATACCGTCCGATCCTTGGGTACTCCACCCTATATAATCGAGTTTTGAGGATACCGCTCGATCCTTGGGTATTCCACCCGACATAACCGAGTTTTGAGGATACCTCCCGATCCTTGGGTACTCCACCTGACATAATCGAGTTTTGAGGATGCCTCCCAATCCTTGGGTACTCCACCCGACCTATGATCTACCACATATCATACTAGATAGGGTCTATATCACAATCAATAAACAAGACTAAACCAAGTCTTAAGGCCTAAGCAAAGTCATCCATGCAAGTCCATGCACTAAAAATCAACATATGGGCAATATAAGGTCAAACCGGCGTCGGTTCAAATCTGACCGGTGCCGGTTCATAGTCAAATAATATGAGCCGGTCTAAACCTGCTCGAACCGGCGCCGGTTCTATGCATGACCGGCACCGGTTGCCCTTGGACAACCGGTCAACTCTCGGTTGACCCGTTATTTCAAGTCCAAAAAAATGTCAAACTTAATTACAACATGTATTAAGTTATAAACAACCATAGTATGAACCATTTATATCTAAACATGTCACATATGTTTTTATAAACGTTTTCATATCACAATTCATGCATATCCCAATAGTTCATTTCATACAAGCCTAATCACTTTGGCTAATCACATGTTTAATCTCATTTAAACAATTTTATGAACACATCTAACATTTAATTAGGTAATCTCATGCTTAACCCAAATGTTACAAGACATTAAGCCGTTCACTCACCTTAAATGAGCTTTAGCGCGTTCTTCGCTCCTCGGTTGAACTCCGGCGAAACTCCGGCGAAACTCCGACGAAGCTCCTGCGAAGCTTTGGCGAACTCTAGAAACACTTTAGTCAAAATCCTAACATGGTTTTATAATCACAAAACCAATATCAACACAAATAACCTCTAAAAGGTTATTTTCCGACGAACCGGTCGTTTCGGCTTCTAAGTCCGTTCTTGGACTTAGAACTAGCTTCCAACCCCTCATTCTACACTTCTAAACATGTAGAACAATCCTAGGGGTCCTTCATATTCTATATAAGCCATATGATAAATGAAAAGTAGAGTAAAAGTTATTACAAGGTTATTACCTTAATATTCCACACTTTTCCTAACTTTTTCCTTCTTCAAGCTTTCTCTTTTGACCAACCTTCCTTGAGCTCAAATTTCAACAATGGAGAAAGGGTTGAGAGCTTTCTTTTCTCCTTCTTTGAAGGTCTTGGTCGAGCTAAGGAGATAGGGGTGGATTGAGAATGCCTTTTTGGCATTTCTCTCAATCATACATGGAAGGGGTCCACTCCCTTAAATGTATTTGGATCCAAAATCAAATCATGGCTCTCCTCCCATGTGTTGGTGCAGTTACCTTGTCCAAATACAAGGATAAAAACGTGGGTTGGCCCCCACTTATGTGGGAGGTCATCTCTTTGTGTCCCAAACTGTACAATCGGTCTCGAAAGTTGTATTTCTTGGATTGTTTTAATTATATTCTATTTTATTGGATCAAATAAAATATATTATGTGTTTCCTATCATTATGGACTCTTAGAATAAATATTCATTTTTCATCTTTAATTTACAAGTCTCCGAAATCGGTTTCGGGCTGTTATCTAATAAATTACCAATACCGGTAATTGGGCCTCGTTTGACCAACAGGTCAACCCTATGCCCTTCCTATGGCCCAACCAAAATATTCCACCACCATATAAATACTATCTAGATCAAGATGAATATGATATGTGATCCCGAGATTATCGGGTGGTCCCCGCTCACGATGCGGGCCCCGCGTGCAATTCACACTATTCACGCAAAAGAAATAACAAAAATTTTACAACCCTGTAAATTCATAAATCATTATTCAAGGTTCATTACATGATTTACTAAAACTAAATATACTTGGGGACGGTGTTACAGTATTTCCTTATTTGAGATTGGGTTCTTTCATTGAAGACCTGGAAATCGTCCAACACTGAATAGTAAAAGAAAAAAATCATTTTCAAATCTACCTGGCAAGTTTACATATCCATTTTTTTTATTTTCTTCCTGCGTGAGTTTCAAGTTAACATATGATTTGAAACTATATCATACTTTCTATCCTATTATATTTAATTGCTATTTCTATTTGTTATATTCTTCTAGATTATTTGATTTATTTTTATTCATTTTCACAGCATAAATGGTTTAAGTTTATAGATAAATAACTAAATCATTGATGGGTTATAATATATTTTAAATTAAGATTTTTTTTATAGTTTGTTGACTTCCTATTATACAGATCATCTTTCTGTGATGCAAGAGTGAATTCTGGGTAATTGGTTGAAGAGTTTTTACATAATTGGGGAGATCTATTGTACTAATGTCAAAGGTTTAGACGTTTAGTGGAACCTACACTTTAATTTCCTAAGAATACCTAAATCAAATAAATCAATTTTTTTCTTCAAATGTTAGATTGTTAGGTACACTGTATTTGAAACAATTTAATTTCTTTAGTTTTATAACATTGTCATTGTTTGGGAAATTTAATCAAAGGAAATAATAGAAACTTGATGCAAGGAATGTCATCTTTTACCTTAGATCCCTCAACAAATATAAACTTATTGACATTTCGTTAACTGTTTGGACAATTTTGCCAAGGAAATTCCTAATCTTAGTATAGTACTAATTTGTATTTTTCATTGTAGGTGATTGCATATTTGGTGCGTTCTCAACTTGTGAACTATGACATATGAAATAAAAATGTTTTTGTTATTTGGGAAAGACTGGAGAAAATATATATGAATTTTTTTAAAAAAAACTTCTCTCCTTCTAATGTACCATAGAGTTGGGTTAAGCACTGACATTACGTTAGGAGATTCAGTTAGCCTTGATTTTAAATGAATCCCTTACCCCTCAAAGAAGGCCTTCAGCTACTGCATTGGTCACAGTGCTTTGGCTATGATGAGTAATGTGGGCAGTTTTTAACTAAATGATTTTTATTAGTTTATGTTGCTTCAGAATGTGTTGCTTCACATTATTAATTTATGTTGAAATTCAACCCTATAAGTGTAGGCTTATAAAGTAATGTCATCTATACTTCTAATCTACAAGTGTTCATATGGAAATCACTTCATTTATTGAGGGTAGGTTAAGGAGGACCATCATGGAGTTTAAATTATGCACTTTAGAAGATGTGGGAATTATGCACTAGCTCTAGCAACATAACCATTAAAAATGTTAGCATGTCATTATGGGTGGACATGATCCGGATTCTAATCAGTCGTTCTTTGGAAAAAATATGGAGGCATGTGACCGTGAACTCAATTTTCGGTTCCAGACTAGTCCGGGTACCATTTTTGTTTTTATTTTTTATATACTTTTAAACCCTCTAACCCCTTCCCCGCCCTTTTAAGCTTTTTAAATGAACCATTCACCCTTACAAAATGTTTTCCAATGATTTCAATAGATAAAACAATGGGACCGTACAGGGACCTCTTTCCCACCGATCCAGGCACAGAACTTTAATTTTTGGTACCAAGCTTGGTTAAAATACTGGATGGTCCTGGAACCTTTGTGCTACATGTAATGCACACCATGTCCTTTAAATATATTATAATCTCGTGCTAATCAAGCTATCCAACAAAAACTAATGTTATTGTGCCAAATGATGTACAATAATACAAACCACACACATGGATCAAATTCCACCACTATGCACGTTTGTTTATACCATTCTGTATTGCTTCCAATTATGTAATTTGCTATAAAATTCCTTAGGGACAATTGGGTAAAAACAGTTATTGGAACAAATTCACAATCTATACTAATCCGTAAGGTACAACTTTTGTTACATGGATTTACCGATTTATTCTCGACTTATATTTGACCTCATTATTAGTCCTTTCAATATACTTATTTATAATTTTTTTTGTTATGTTACTAACTATGTTTTTTACATCGAATTTTTTTCCAACTTCTAGCAAGATCATGTAACATCATACTCCCTCCGTCCCGCTAACAATGGGACGGAAGGGAGTGGCACGCATACCAATACAATCTCATAAAGTAGCAATCAAAGAGAAGTATATTAATTTAATGCAAATAAATTAAAGACTAGTGGAGTGCTAATGTTCCGTGTTTCTAAAAGTAAAATGGACAAGTCATTCCAAAAAGTAACCGCCCATTTTCGAAAAGTTAAAACCCATGTGCGGACAAAGATGAAAAATGAAATATTTGCCGCCACACTTGGCGGCCAAACCAAAAATTGAAATCATGTAGTCCGCCATTTGTGCACAACACTTCTTTCTATAAATAGAAACCAAAGCATTAAATTTTACAACAACTTTCTAAACATTCAGTCCTTACATATTAAAGGCAACATGGCCAGCACAAACAAAAAAAAGAACTTGACAGATGAGCAAAGACAAGGCATAACAGACATGCTTCGTGACAAAAGGCATCAGTTGGGTGGTTCTTTGCACAAAGGCAGCATCAATGAGGCAACAGCTGTTTATGGAGTAAGCAGAAAAACCATTAACCGAATCTGGTCAAAAGCCAGAAATCAAATCAGGTTAAAAATAGAGGTTAATGTGAAATCAAAGGTTCCAGGCAAAAAAGGAAGGGCAGTGAAGATTATTGACAACACAACAGTCAGTGAAATTCCTCTAGAACTGAGAACAAACATAAGGAGGCTTGCAAAAGCTCTAAAACTAGGAAAATCAACAGTTCATCGGGCCATCAAAAGAGGGCAGCTCAGAAGCCACAGCAGTGCTATAAAGCCCTATCTAACTAAAGAAAACAAAAGGAAAAGGTTAATGTATGTTTTGTCTCAATTTCAGCCTACAGTTTATATGCAAGATCCAAAGTTTATTGATCATCATAACTACATTCATATTGACGAAAAATGGTTTTTTTGACAAAGTCAAGTCAAAAATATTATCTGACCCAAGAAGAGATGGATCCACACAGAACTTGCAAATCAAAAAGTTTCATCACAAAGATAATGTTTATGGCTGCAGTTTCACGGCCCATATATGGTTCAGATGGTGAACTAATATTTGATGGCAATATAGGTATATTCCCTTTCATAACAAAAGAGGCAGCAAAGAGAGGAAGTAAGAATAGGCCTAAGGGAACTCTAGAGACAAAGGCAGTCACTTCCATCACCAAACAAGTCACAAGAGATTGTCTACTTTACAAGATTCTACCCGCAATCAAAGATAAATGGCCCGAAGGTGCAAGTAAGACCATTTTTATTCAGCAAGATAATGCTAACCTCACATTAATCCGGAAGATCCAGAATTTGTGAATGCTGCCACCAGTGATGGGTGGGACATTCATCTTCTATTCCAGCCTCCTAACAGTCCAGATCTAAATATTTTAGATTTGGGTTTTTTTAGGTCTATCCCATCACTACAACAAGAATATAAAATGAAAACAGTGGATGATCTAATTAGTGCTGTGGAAAAAGCATTTGAAAACCTAGAAGCTGATAAGCTTAATGATGTTTGGATCACCCTACAATATTGCATGATTGAAATCATGAAGCATGAAGGCTGTAACAAGTATCGATTGCCACACATCGGAAAAGCAAAGCAAAGGAGGCAAGGAGAACTAATGCAAGAAGCCACAGTTACACAACAACTAATCCATCAGGTTGTAAGCTACCTCAACCAGACTATGATCACCGAAGGACACACCACAGAGGATAACAACTAGCTTTATGATCTATGACGGAGTTGTTTAAGCATAAACTGCCTCTATTTTTTACATTTTGAGGTTGTACAATCTTAAACAACATGTTTTTTGTCTACCAATGATCTAAATGTAATTCTCTGAAACTATTCAGGTAGTATCAATATAAGATTATATTAAGCTTTTAAATTGTTTTACATAGTTCCATAGAATTCAGAAAAGCACACTCCCAGAAAACAAAGCTCTTAAGGGACAGAATGCTCAAAAAACCAGAAATATTTAGGGAACATCTAAAAATGCAGATGTTTTTTGGGAATATTTTAAAAAATCAGAGATTTCAGAAAATCACATTCACACAAAACAAAGCTCCCATGGGACAGAATACTCAAAACATTAAAATATTTGTATGGAATATCTAAAAATCCAGAAATTTTTAGGGAATACCTAAAAATTCTGATGCTTTTAGGGAATATCAAAAAATCCAGATAATTCAGAAAAACACATTCACAGAAAACAATATAGGGTTTTTTGGGTACCTTTCTTTTGGGGTAATATGAAGTTGGCTATAAATTCTTCAGTCCGCTTCTGGCTTTCTGGACTCCAACGAGGATAACAAGATATCGGAATCAAGCTTTGGTCTCCTGCTACAACTCGAACAACAGCACAAGGGTCAGCATCTGATTTGGTTTCTTCTTCGTCAACCTCTGAATCAGATACATAACCCAGACGGTCTTCTCTATCATCAGTGATCATCTTTTCACTCTTAAGAGGAGTTTTGGGGTAATATGAAGTTGGCTATAAATTCTTCAGTCCGCTTCTGGCTTTCTGGACTACAACGAGGATAACAAGATATCGGAGTCAAGCTTTGGTCTCCTGCTACAGCTCGAACACCTGCCCAATAATCAACATCTGATGTGGTTTCATCTTCTTCAAGCTCGGAATCAGACACATAATTTAGACGGTCGTCTCCATCGAACGACATCTGATTAGAAAATAAATTTGGATGATAAGGAAAGGAGTGGAGATTTTAAAGCACAAATGAGATCTTGAGGTCGGTTATGGAGAAATCCTGCGGAGCTATGGAGAAAATTAAATGGAAGAGTTGAGTGGGTAGAAATTAATGGAAGAGGTCGGTTCCCAAGATAAAGTGGTGGGGTAGTGTAGTGGGTAGATGGGTTTATTTAATATTAAAACAATTAAGAGAAGTTATTAACATAAAGTAAAGCAGTCACTTTAGAGATAAAGTAGGGAAAAAGTTTCCAAATATAGTATGGGACAATCATAGTGGGACGGACCGAAATGGTAAAACGGGACTATCATAGCGGGACGGAGGGAGTAACAGGATATGCAGTCATGCAAATAAGTAAATTCGTCATATACTTTCAAGCATAAGTTGCATGACTAAATGTATTTAAATTTTAATTAGCTTATATCCCGTGCAACACCCGCCTGCCCAGGTTAAAGACTAGTAACAATCTATTTCCATGATTCAGTGAAAGAATAAGCTCCCTGTTTCATCTCAAGTCTTTCCTGCTTCTAACTTCCTCTCTTAAAAGTAAATAAGAATAAAAAAAAGCCAAGAAATTGCAAAATAAAGCTGCCATGGCCAATCATATATTAACATATCACCTGTACTGCATAATTCAGTGCTTTGTTGAATCCAAAAACTCCCAATCTGAAAAGTCAGAGCTCAACCTTTTGGAGCCAATTGGTCAGAGTTTCACTTTCATTCAACATAAACACACAAATTTGGAGTAAATGTTTATGTATTGCATATGCTGATTTATCTAGGATGTTCAAATTGGGCTAAATCTTTCATATCAGATCACCTTTTAGGCAGGGGAATTGACGAGCACTTTGTCACGGTGCGTCAAAGTAAATTCAATACTAACACTTATACGTAGTATAGCGTAGTAGAGTTCGTATCCACAGGGAAAGGAATAATTCTCTTTTTATGATACTTAGTAAATAAAAAGGGGGGTTTGGATTGAGTGATTTAATTTAATTAAGAACTAAGATGAACAACATATATGTGTTTAATTCAAAGATAAAAAGGACTTGGCATTGCTACTTTCCACTTGTTGATATATTTTAGTCGATCATTGTTATATCTATAACTTATTCCCTCTCGAATACTCAATCGGGGAGTATATCCACTTCATCGAGGGCAGTTATTAACAACGACCGTTCATTAATAACCCTTAATATTAATCAAATATAGAACAACGCCTTATACCGATTTAATAGTAGCATTTAATCTTTTCTAACTCCTTGATGAAATCAATTGAGATTGATAACCTCAACACAAGCGGTTTCGGTTTAACCAACAAAATTAATCCCTCTTAAGTTTATTAACCACGACCGTGCATTAATAAACCGAAGCTACTTACTTGTGAAACCATCAACGATTAACCATCGGTTCGTTGATCGTTTCTAGTAATAATTAATATATGAAACAAAACTAGTTGATCCTTTAAGTAATGTTCAAAATATTAATATGAAATAAGAGGAGGGATTAATTAATATTCAAGGAAGAATATTATTAATGAAGATGAATCCTACTATAATTAATATCAAGATGTTAACTAATTGTCATCTTAGCAACACTCCTCAATATTAATATAGAGGAAGAAAATACCATTCTAACTAATGTCGAGATGTTAACTAATTGTCATCTTAGCAACACTCCCCAACATTAATATAGAGATGATATTAAGGAAAGAACTATTAATTAATATTCAAGGAAAGAAGTTAAGAAAATAACTCACAACTTTAATAATCAACAAGCTTCAAGAGCAACACCAAGAATGGAAGTTTAGCTCCTCATTTGGAGACTAAACATAGCTAGAAAAATATAAAGAAATGCTATTCTAAACTGAGCTAAAGAGTATGGAAGAAGGGATGATGAAATGTGAAGGAAAATGGGGCTATTTATAGGTGTTTTCAACACCTAATGCCGGATACCCGACCGGGTATTTTGACATACCCGACCGGGTATTTACCAAATCAAATATTTTCCCATGTTTTTGTGTCTTCTGCACGTTCTTTGGTCCGAAATCACAGAATACCCGACCGGGTATTTGCTAATTTGGTAGCAATTTCCTTTGTCACTTCATACCTGGCCGGGTAAAGCCCATACCCGACCGGGTTTTGCACAAAACTCAGGTTTCTTCATCCTTTTTGCTTCCAAACCTATCCTAAACTTATAGCTCAACTAACTACAACTTACAAGAAACAATAAAATGCTAAAAATACGATTACAATCAAATGCAAACTAGCAACTATAAACTTACACAAAACTAGTAAATAAACATTACAAACAATAATAAAAATGTATACTTAGGCACTAACAACTAGTGCCCATCAAACACCCCCACACTTGAACCTTTACTCGTCTCGAGTAAATTAACACCTGCCCATGAAGTTTTCAAAACCACAAAAGTAACAGAACAACCATCCAACATTTTTTTTTTGATTATCTTCTGCATAAATAGATATTTTTCTCTCATTCTCTCATTTTGCCTAGGAGCCTTTTCAGGTTTTCATCCTAGCCTCTCTTTTTATTTTTTTCATTTCTCACAACTCACTCATTTTAGCCACTTTTGCTTAGATTGCCCATTTTTTCTGGGTTTTCAACCTAACTAGCATTCTTTTTTTTCTTTTATTGTTTTTTTTTTGCTCTTTTTTTTGTTGATGAAAAATAATGCAAGTTACAAGGTTAAAAAAAAATGAGTACATACCAAATGAGTGCCTCCCCTACACTTTTTTTCGAAACACTGTCCCTAGTGTTTGGAACCATGATTGTCGATGTACCCTCCATAACCGCCATCGCCACCAAGACCATGTTCACCGGAGCTAGAACCTCTAAATTGCCCTAACATGAGGGATAATACCACGTCGGGTGTTGTACTAGGTTGGGCATGTTGCAGAAGTACCCTTGGTGATCGAAGTCATGTGTTCTTTTTGGTGCTTTTTTTTTCTCGTTTTTATTTTTTTGTGAATTCCAAACTTGAGCTTGGGGGGTTAGGGAATTCGGTTTGTAGGGTATTTAGGGGATTTAATGGGTTTTGTGTGTGTGGGTTTGGAATGTAGGGTGAGGAGAAAAAGAAATGGCATTTTTTTTGAGGTTTTGGGATCGGAGAGGATGGTGTGGATAAGAAGAATGTGGAGTTAATTTGGATGTTTTGGTTGAGATTGGAGTGGTTTGAAGCTTGGATGATTGTAATTGGAGGTTGAGGGTTTGAGTTTGGGACATTAGGGAAGCAAATGGGTGTTTTGTGGGCTGATTTAGGACCAAAACGGACTGAAATCTCGATTACCCGGCCGGGTTTTAGTAATACCCGAATGGGTATGTTGTTTTTCGCTTGGCAGAACGTTTTTAGGCTGTTTTGGCCAAAAACCCGGCCGGGTTTTCGTGATACCCGGTCGGGTATTAGGCTATTTTATTGATTTTTTCAGTTTTTTGCCCGGTGGCTGTGTTGCCCGGGTATTCCCTTTTTGTGCTGGTACCCGACCGGGTGTGGGATATACCCGGGCGGGTTTTTCCTCCCAGATTTTTTTTGAAAGGTGTAAAGATAAAATAAAACAAGTAAACGTACCTTTCTTGGGTTGCCTCCCAAGAAGCGCCTTATTTAACGTCGTGGCACGACGCCATCATTGTGTTCAGTCATTCAAACTTGGATCATGATAGTTTATCTTTTTCACACTTTCACTCCTAGGACGTTCATAGGAGTGCTCAACTTCTCGACTCTTCAATTTGGGAATCTTTCCAGGATCAAATACCCAGATTGTCATTGATTCATGCGGTGGGAGGAAAGGGAAGAAATTATCGTTTACTATGGTCAATGAAAAGTTTTTCGATCCTTCAATTTTGAAGAGGATTTCAGAAATGTCATTGTCCTTTCCAAATTTACGAGTTTCCCTCAAAATTTGTAGAATTGATGGGGGTACCTCAAAAGATGACAAGGATAGATATTTAACCTTGAAGCTCAGATTATCCTCTTCTTTGACCAGTTGGAGCTCCGTGTCTTTTTCTTCCTCTACTTCTTCTGGATTCTGGATCTCCTTTTGCATTTCCTCTTCATTTGTCAATGTGATTGCAAAAGTTTGCTGTTTAGGATCACATTCTAGTTGAGAAGGAGGTTTTTCGGAATCCCTTGCTTCAAGCCTACTCACGACTCCGGCTATTTGACTCATTTGAGTTTCCAAGTTCAAAATGCTAGACTTGGTCTCATTTTGGAATTGCACCATGTTTTGTTGCATGGCGGTCACACTGTTAGTAAGAGCCCGAACCATGTCCTCTGTGGACATATTAGAGTTGGAGAATGGATCATACCTCATGTGAGGTACATCATCAATTTGTGCAAGGTATTCTTCTTGGAGCTTTGGGCAGAAGTCCGTAAGATGCCTCTGAGACATGCAAATGTTGCATGTCTTGGCATCTTGAGCTTTTGAGTTAAAGATAGATTCCTTTATTAGAGAAGTCAAGAAGGAAATTTGACTCTCTAAGGATGAAGTGTTGGTATCCATATACTCATAACTCATGTAAACTCAGAAAATAGAAGAGCAAGAATTTTTTTTTATATATATATATATATTTTTTTTTTGTTTTTGATTTTTATGAGATAAAATAAAAAGAAAAGTAATTGCCTTTCCCCGACAACGGCGCCAAATTTGACGAGCACTTTGTCACGGTGCGTCAAAGTAAATTCAATACTAACACTTATACGTAGTATAGCGTAGTAGAGTTCGTATCCACAGGGAAAGGAATAATTCTCTTTTTATGATACTTAGTAAATAAAAAGGGGGGTTTGGATTGAGTGATTTAATTTAATTAAGAACTAAGATGAACAACCTATATGTGTTTAATTCAAAGATAAAAAGGACTTGGCATTGCTACTTTCCACTTGTTGATATATTTTAGTCGATCATTGTTATATCTATAACTTATTCCCTCTCGAATACTCAATCGGGGAGTATATCCACTTCATCGAGGGCAGTTATTAACAACGACCATTCATTAATAACCCTTACTATTAATCAAATATAGAACAACGCCTTATACCGATTTAATAGTAGCATTTAATCTTTTCTA